TTTTTTTTTTTTTTTTAGCAGAAATCATCAAGTAGATACTAAAATTTGTATGGAGACACAAAGAACCTAGAATAGCCACAACAATTTTGAAAAAAGAACAAAGTTGGAGGATTTGTGCTGTTTGATTGTAAAACTTGTTACAAAATCACAGTAATCAAGACAGGGCTGTACTGGCATGAGGGGAGGCAATGAACCAGAAATAAATCCTTAGGCTTATGGCCAACTAATTTTGACAAACGTGCCAGGACAGTTAGAAGGGGGGGGGGATAGTCTTTTTAACAACTGATGCTAAAGCAATTAGACATTCATAGTTGTGTCAGGGTCCCCGGGACCACCCTCAGTGTTTTAGTCAGCTTTCTTCATCATTGTGATTGAAATACCTGACAAGAACAAATAGGGAGGAAAATTTTATTCCGGCTCACATTTTCAGAGGCTCAGTCCTTAGATGACTGACTCCACAGCTCTGAGCCCAAAGTGAGACAGACATCATGGTGGAAGGGTGTGGTGGAGGAAAGCAGCTCAGGACACGGAATCATGAAGCAGAGGGGACAAAATAGAAACCCCAAAGGCACACCCCCACTGACCCACCTCCTCCAGCCACACCCTATCTGCCTCTAGTTTCTACCTAATCTAGGTCAGTGGGTTAATTCATTGATTAGGTCACAACTCTCATAATCTCATCATTTCACTTCTGAATATGGCATTGTCTCACACACGAGTTTTCTGGGGACACCACATATCCCAACCATGATACCCAGGTTCAGCAACTGATTTGCTACTATGACTAGCAGAACTCGTTGCTTGGATTTATCACAGCAAAGAGATAACATTAAGCAAGGGGGTGTGAGAGGTCTTGAAGGAAGGGTGGCACAAGCTTCTAAGAGTTCTCTCCCAGTGGAGTTTTATGCAGGTCACATTTAATTCCTCCAGTAATGAGCTGTGACAACCCATATGAAATGCCCTCTATCAGGAAAGCTTGTTTTGAGATGCAGTATCCAGAATTTTTACCGGGGGCTGATCAAGCAGGCACCTCTACCTAGCAAAATTCCAAAATTCTAATTCCCGGAAGGAAAGGAGGTAGTTCCACACAACACATCATTTGTACAGTGTTGGCATGGTGAGCCACTCATATCAGACCGGGAGGATGGGAACCCTCCGAAAATCTAAGTTTCCAGCCACAAACCCAGAGCCAGTCTTGCCCACAGGCCTGCCTAAGGATAGCAGTCTCAGACTTGCAATGTGGATCCTTTACTGCACAATGGGAGAAAAAAAAAAAAAAAAAGAGAGAGCCCATAACATGAACTTCACCTCTAAGTCTTCTAGAAGAAAATAAAGGAGAAAATTTCAAGACATTGGGTTGAATAAAATATTCTTAGCAACACACTGAAAGCATAATCCCAAGAGAAGAAACTGATAAAAAGTCACTGTCAAGTTTTAAAATCTGGGCTGGGGGTATGGCTCAAGCAGAGCGCGCTCGCCTGGTATGCGTGTGGCCCAAGTTCGATCCTCAGCACCACATACAAAGATGTTGTGTCCGCCAAAAACTGAAAAATAAATATTAAAAATTCTCTCACTTTCTTTAAAAAAAAAAAGTTTTAAAATCTTTGCCTTTTAGGAGACACTATAAGAAAAAGGGGCTGGGAATGTAGCTCAGAAGAAGAACATGTGCTTAGTACTTAGCATGTCTGAGCACCTAGGTTTAAACCCCAACACACACACACACACACACACACACACACAGAAGAGAATAAAGCCAAAGACCAAGAGAAAATATTTACAAATTATATATCTAATAATTTGTATGCAGAATATATAAAGAGCTACACTAATTCAAAAGATAATTTGATATATTTTTTCAAATAGACAAAAGACTGGAATGAACATTTTACCAAAGAAGATATGTGAATAGCTAAAACACATGAAACTGATCATTAGTCATGTCATATCATATCATTAGTCAGCAGAGGACTGCAAATTAAAACCATAATGAGACACCAATATACACCTACTAGATTGGCTATGATTTAAAAAAAAAAAAGTCAGATAATAACAGCATCAGTGAAGATGTGGAGAAATGAAGCCCTCATAAACCGCGGATGGTAAAAGGTAGAATCACTTTGGAAAACAG